TTTGCCAAGATAATCCATCCACCTTACAGGTGTGGCATATCAAGATGCTGTTTAGACAGCATAATTATTGCAAAGGTGTGCCTTAGGCTGGCTTATGTTTTGTATTGTTGTAAATTGAGACCCCCTGTGCATAAATACTGTGTATCCTGCCTGCAATAAAGAGTTCTTTTTTCCTTCACAAAGTCTCGACTAGTGTTTGGGTGATACCACGATTGCCCTTCTGCAAGCGACTATAATCACTGCCTAGCAGCTATAATAACTCTGGGGCTGGGCACAACTAGGAAGGGGCGACCACAGGCAGTAGTAACCCATCCTCGAGAGGGTATACCACCACATCTAGATCTCCATTTACAGCAATACATAAAAAAACATATGCCCACCCCAGCATCGCTGTGTCTTTGAGATAATGGTATCTCCCGAACACACAAAAAAACCAAAAATACACACCAGTAACGCATCCCCACATGCCATATATCCCTGAATAGCTCCTGGTCCCAACTATGATCAGATCAGTGCACATAGCAGAAATCGTCATATAAAGTCTGGGCTTGGGACTCTGTACATACCTGAAAACAGTTCCAGAGAATCACTTGGTTTAGGCTGGTAGATTCAAACTTGACCAATGTGCACCAATCAGCGCTCAGGGATGACATTCAGTGATGGCGTTCCGTCACACGTGTTGATGGTAACTTTGCTCTAATGATAAGTCTGTAAACTGCAAGACCAAATACATATATACTGTTAATAGTGGTGGAAATGTATTGTGTGTTTGTATGCATTATTTGCTGGTTGTCAGAGGTTTATTATCAAGCGTTTTCTGGTACTGAATGTTATTATTATCAGGTATTTTTATATACTGTGTCAATTTAGGCTCCTATTATTTTTCAGTTGAATGCCAATATCTGTGTATTTCTAATGTATCGGGAGCCCTATTTTGGTGGCCCATTGATTACCCCAGTAGTTCCCAAACCAATCCTCAAGGCTCCCCCACCAGTCCAAGATTGAGGAATTACCCAGTTGTGTTTAAGGTGTTTTTACAAAGAAAAGAACACACACAACCTGTCCAGGATTTAGGTAATCCCTAAATGCTGGACTGGTAAGGGAGCCTTGAGAACTGGTTTGGAAACCACTGGATAACTCCTTAATTATGGGGCAAAAAGGGTTGTCCCTGTCCACGTTTAAACAGGGCTGGTGAGGAAAGTGAGCAGGATCACCTATCTTTTTTGGGGAATTGAACTGATTAAAGCGTAGGTAGAGCTAAACCAAACTCCACTTGACAGGAAAGTAAGGTGCTGGTCTATAAAATGACACTTAAGCTGGATTATTTACAGCCTCTCTGACAAACCCACCTAGCTATTTGTACAATCCCTGATTCAAAATTTCACTTCAAAGCACTGTAACATATGTAGCACTCACAAAATAATGTGGTTTAAATATTTTTGATTACGTCTCTGCGCTCTATAATCGACTACAGCTTCTGATAACGTGAGCTTCTCTGAGTTTACTCCACAATGAAAATAGAGCAACACAATCATATTTTCTTCCTTACAATTTGCACAGGACGGCAAGTAAAACAGGCATTGACCATATGAAGTAGAGGGAGCTGGCAAATAGCATTTCAAGTTACTTTGCCATGTGTGCATGGAGATATTTCAAAATATATCAATCAGGGCAGAGGTGTAACTAGAAACCACGGGGCCCCAGTGCGAAAATTGCCCTGGGGCCCCCCATACATCTAATGACATTGCTATAGACAGGGTTCCTTTTTCAAGGTTAAGATTATGCTGGCATAGTGAGTGTTAATTAAGGGTTCTTATTTTCCCCCAACAGACTCAAGCACACATAACATTGTAGTCAGTTAACATAGTCAGGTGTTTTGTTTTTTTTCTTTTATCACTTATCACAGTGCATATCAAAGGGATTTAAATAGCAAAGGATTTCAATTGTTAAATTGAGTTCTATAGCTTCTGTTAGTATTATTTATTTAATATGTTAGTTGTGAAAGGAGACAGTTGATAAATACATGTCACAATATTGCAAAAGTGAATCTTGATAATTTTTTACGTGTTTTGTGTGTATATTTGATGGTGATTAACCTTTGTATTGTCTAATCTATTCAGACTCTATAATGTCTAATCTATTCAGACTCTTTTTATATGGTCTCTTTCTTCTTTTCTTATATAATATTCTGAATAAATAATCTCTTTTTGCAACACTGCAGATCACGGTAGACCTTTATGAATAACAGTGACAGCATGTGGTCTTTAAGAAGGGTTACTGCTTAGTAACTGTGGAATAGAATGTAATGTGAAGTATCAATGCAATAGGTGTCATAAGGGGTCTATCTGATCAGGACCTTGCTCACAAAACTCCTGCACGTCTTGCAACATGCTTTCTTGCATAATTAGCTAGCAGTGAGTCCTGTCTTCCCCTATTACCTTTGCAGGTTATAAAGGCGAATGAAGGTGCCAGATCTCATGTAAAATTCTATGTATTATTCCATTAGTGTGCAAAGCATCTCATTCAATCACAGAGAGCTAGTTTTGCTTTCATGCAAAATAATGACACCGCTCACCCAACCCTAAAAGCAAAAATCAAGAAGTGTTTACATATGCAGTATAGAATGACGCAATTATACAAATGCAACGGTTCCCACTAGTAATGTTGTTGTCTAGTTATGAGAGTAGAGTAAAAGTAGGAATGTAGTATGACAAAAAGATGGACAGAGCAGAATGGGTGAATTGTGTGCTGCTCTACCAGTGAGAATCAGCACCTTGACTTTATGTAACCAATATAAAAGAAGTGAATGGTTTAGATCAGGAGTAGGCAACTTTCAACACTCCACGTGGACTACATCGCCCATCATGCTCTTACAGCTATAATACTGGTAAAGCATTAGGGGAGAGGCAGTCCACAACATCTGGAGTGCCGACGGTTGACTACCCCTGATTTAGATCAAGTGTACGAATATTACAGCTGCTCAGAATGCAAGCGGCAAAAATAAAACACATAATAAACATGTAACAAAATATAAAAGAGGATATGCAAGTGGAATTGCATTGCAGTATTCCAGTAAATTGTGAATGATCTCCTCCAGAATTTGTGGGATTGAATATAAATGGTTGAGCAGCTGTTATTTAAAGCATAAATTACACCAAACTGGGTTGAACTGTGTGAACCAAAACTGATGAGCTAATCTCACATAATGTCTGTTTGCCCTTCAGGTCCAAACTGCTTTGCGGGCACTACTATCATCCCAGCGGGCATAGAAGTGAAAGTGGATGAGTGTAACATTTGCCATTGCCACAATGGAGACTGGTGGAAGCCGGCACAGTGCTCGAAGAGAGAATGCCATGGAAAGCAAACCCTATAGACTCTACTCAACGAATGGGTGGTGTGAGAACTATGTCTACAATTCAACCATTGCCAAGTGAAAAGCTTTAAAGGGATAATACCTAAAGCTTTGTGGATTTGTGTAGCAGTTAGGATGCAGAATGACACAGGAAGAATCCTTTTTATGCAAGCATCACACTATCCTGGGATTGCTGTGCACACAGAAGAGAACTTAAAATTCAGAGCTCTGCATCAATTATGTTCATCTTTGCGACTGTTTCAGTTTTCTGAGAAGGTTTGGCCAAATGGAACGCTGGTTACACAGTGACACTGTGAAGGGAGCTTTGGTACCATTCCATTGAATCTCAAGTTTACCTGACAATCTTATGTCTCCATTGAGACTACATTCATGCCCTGTTATTTGATATTGATTTTGGTTGCCATGGAGTTTTGTGTGTTTAGCCCAGCATCATCAACAACAACAAAAATGAATAAAGGAAACGAGCAATAGTTTTCAGGTTATAATATGATAGATTAATATTAATCCACAACACTGCTGCTATAAAAGACCCATTTACTGCCAAAGAAAGCCTAAAATCAATGCATTTTAGGGACCTCTGGCAGCAAAACAAACGGGTTAATTATTTTTCTCTGATGCACAATGTGTAAAATATTGAACAGAAAGATATGTGCACAATCTTACAAAATTATTTCTCTTTGAGACATTTGCCCTCTTCAGAACAAAAGTCGACCAAAAAAGAAAATGAAATCAATGAGCACCAAATGAGAGAGCAGTGGGTTGCATCACTGACTACACCACTACCAGCAACTTTAAACATGTCAGTCCTGAAAGGCCAGTGTGAAGCCATTTTGTTCTGATATTTTTCAGAATGTCACTTATCAAAGGATGGAGTTAAATAAAACAGCCTGGCTGAAATGTTACATTAAAAATAAAAAAAGAAAGAGATTTTTCAAATATAGCAGCAGTTAACGAAAGGCAACCTCTGGCACTCTGGCTCTAGTGGACTATAACTCCTAATATCCGCAGCCAGTACACGATGATAGTGAACTGGAGATCCAGAGGTTTCCTAACCTGGCAACAGTTTTGTTATGTATATGTATCAGAATTGCTGCACATGCCTCATACAGTTCCAGAATGTGCCAAATCAAATGTTGCAGCTGGATCTTTAGCATAGATATTATCTCAATATGTTTTTTCTTTTGTGTATACTTTTTTTGTCAGTTTATTTTTATGCTTCCTTCTCCAGCAGTGAAGGGTTAAATGTAACAGGATCCATACATGTCTATCAGCTATTAAGTGTCAAAATGCTGAAAGAAAAAAAAAAGAAAAAAAAAAAAGAGTGTGCCTGAAAACTTGTGGGAAGCTATCTCGTGTGCACCGAGATATATATATTGTGTGCACTTCTACACAATAATAATATTTGATGCGTCAAAAATATATTATTAAAATATTTTGTTAAATAGAAATGTGTACTATCAGCTGTCTTCTGATACCCATTAAGTCAAACGCCACCACTTCCATACAGGCACATGAATAGCTTAAGTGGATAAAAAAAATAAATTACTATTTGTCTGCACTTGACCCATAATAATAATAATAAAATCCATCTTAACAATACCCAAACCTATTCTAGTAGAAACAATGCCCCCACCAAGACAATAAAGAAATGGGGCGTCCCATCCAAATTAGATTTAAAAAACTACAAAACACAATTTAGCAATTTGGCTCTCAAAATGGATTACAAAGTTCTTTAGGTTTCATCTGGGAGCATTTTCACTTGTTTTGCATCATGTCAGGTTCTAGGACAGGTCTCCTTAGCAGGAGCAGGCCACTGGCGAAATTCCAGTGTAATGAAGGCAAATAATGTATCACAAATCCTGGTTAAAAACGCACAATGATCTTGTTATGACTAGGTCTGATCATCTCAGTGAATCCAGATAATCAATTTGAGACCAAACAAGATACATATTTTAATACAAAATCAAAAATAAAATAACATCTAAAATCACTTCCAAAACTGTAAGCTAATGACCCTTCATTGAACTCATAATATACATTGGAAGTGTGTGTTGTTTCTCAGCTCCTTCAAACAGCTTATCTCATAGTCTCCGGTAATAAAGAATGTTATAAACTGAATGTTATGACCTCTAAACTCTTTGGTTTACAAAATGGGAAAATAAAGCATGCCTTAATTGCTGTACCCTTTCAGGGTATTTCCCAGACCAACACAAGATTTAACCCATTGCATTCCCAGACACAGTTAATCTCATTGGTTAATGCTATCCTAAAACACCCCACTATAGATTGAAACCGGCATAGCATAAGTAAGCAATTTACTCAAGAGCTTATTCAACAAACTAAAAAACATGGAGAATAGAAATAGAATTATATGCAAGGCTGACCAAAAGACAGTCTGTCCAGCCACACACAGGCACCTTCCCTCAGGCACATGCCTGGTGAGGGCACCTGATTTGCCTGTTAAAGGACCACTCTAGGCACCCAGACCACTTCAGCTTAATGAAGTGGTCTGGGTGCCAGGTCCAGCTAGGGTTAACCCATTTTTTTCATAAACATAGCAGTTTCAGAGAAACTGCTATGTTTATGAATGGGTTAAGCCTTCCCCCTATTCCTCTAGTGGCTGTCTCATTGACAGCCACTAGAGGCGCTTGCGTGCTTCTCACTGTGATTTTCACAGTGAGAGCACGCCAGCGTCCATAGGAAAGCATTATGAATGCTTTCCTATGTGACCGGCTGAATGCGCGCGCAGCACGGATCGGAGGAGGAGAGCTCTCCGCCCAGCGCTGGAAAAAGGTAAGTTTTTACCCCTTTCCCCCTTTCCAGAGCCGGGCGGGAGGGGGTCCCTGAGGGTGGGGGCACCCTCAGGGCACTATAGTGCCAGGAAAACGGGTATGTTTTCCTGGCACTATAGTGGTCCTTTAACACCTTCACTACCAAGCGGCTTTCAGAAAAAACACCCTCAGAATCTGAGTATTTTGGGATCCAGTTAGCCTCTCATAAAGTCCCATCTTAATGTGGCATTCTGATAGAAGCTGACCACTTCTCACCACAGCTCACTTATAGCTCCGCCTCCTCTGCTGATATAATTAAAGCGAATGTGAGTGCATCATCACAAAAATGATGCACACACACATTTTTCCGTCACAAGGGCAATTCTAACCCATAGTAAACCCATTGTGGATTTTCTTCTGTGCCCAGTCACGGTTTTCATTTACTGGTTATCAAAGAGAGTGTCCTTGACTTTTTGGCATGTCTTTTCATACTTGTCTCATTCTGTATCACTGACCTTGGCTTATCTCTGACCATTTTATATTGACATTAAGTCACGCCACTCTAAGGCCAGGTAATACATATATTTTGAGCAAATGAAAAACTAACGGACGGTAGTCACTAAATCAGGATTGGGCTTGAACCCATGTACTAGACAAATCTAAAAGTATAAGTGAAGCTCTTAGGTAAATAAACCTGTACAGCTAAATGGGCTGCAGAATATAGATGAAATTAAAACGACTGAAGATAACTTAAAGGTGTGTACAATGAATAGGCATATGGGGATGCTTGCATATACACACAAAAAATGCATGTGTATTTATGACGATGACTGTGACAGAGTGAGTGTGACAGGGTGACTGTAACAGAGTGAGTGTTAAAGGATAGATTTGTAAATGTGACTGGTTGATTGACAGTGTGGGGGAGGGGGTGATTGTGACAGTGTGATTGAGTGTGTGTGGGGGAGGGGGGTGATGTGACAGGATGACTGTGTGTGTGAGGGAAGGGGAGTTATTATATGTGGGAGACACCGGGCACTTTTGAAATGTTCGGGCATGGGCTTAGTACACTGACAAAGTTCTGCATAGTGCAAGCATGTTGCATGTTGAATAATACACTCATGCTATGCTGAGTTTGGTCATTTTCCTGATGACCTGGAGAACTAACCCATGACGGTGGGACATGAGCTCATAATTGTGAAACACTTAATAAAAGGATGACAACATATATGACTTAATTTACAATAAACTGTGGTTTAGTGGACACCAGATCCGAACATTTGAGGCCACAAATTCTCATGTCACTTTTATTGCTATATTGTCTGCTTGGGTCTAAATTTTCGAAATTTGGCTTCTATTCACTATTTAGTAATTAAATAAATTAGCTCGGAAGAAACAAACTTTAAACTTCATTGTTAACTTCTAAGTGAATACCTGCTGTTCTAATGTTAGAAACTTTTTTTAGTGTGTAATTAAGTCTTCTTTTACTGTTACTAGATAATTGAGCATGACACAAATGTCTGCCCCCTGCCTATTCCCACTTAACAAAGACCTGTCACCAAAAAACAGTTTTAATCAATATAGCATACAAAATGCTCATAAGTTACATATTTCCCAATTAAAACAGTTCAGCAGTTTTGAACGAAGATTTTTTTTTGCTTAATAATAAAAATAATAGCTTATTATACAGATGGCATTTATTGAACACATTTAATTAAACACCCACACGTTAAAGACCACACCTACTACTCTATCATTTCTCAAAAGGGAAACAAGTCGTAAATGTTTTAAAAGTTTTAAAAAGTCAATCCAGTGTGGAAGACAAGGTCAAATGCATGCTGGTAAATATTGTGGAATTGTAGGAGGCTTTCTACACTTGTTAATATAACATATAGACAGTTTTCATTATCCTCTATTGATTACTGAAAAGCTGTTATTAGATTACACGGTTACTTTACTACAGATAGATTAGTCTGAAAAGACTGAGGGGAGATGGTTGTTCTAGAATTCTAGAATTAGCCTGTGTACATGTATTCTGGGTCATGTTCTTAATTCATAATTTATAGGTGCATTGCCTAAAGGTAAGACTGTATTGTACGGTTTCCATTTTATAGATTGCACTACAGCCCTGAAAGATGCATTTTCTAAAAATTTCTTTTAATAAACAGGCTCATATGGTCACCTTACTATGATCCCTGTAAATCTCCAGAATCTGCTTATGTATTCTAATAGCACCAGATGGGATTTTAATACTTCATCGTCTGGCGAGATACAACAGTAACCTATTTTAATTTAATTTTTACTTTTAATATTCAGAAATAAATGCTGCTCCATTCACATCCATTCGTTCACCTTGAAGAAGGAGCTTAACTTGATATGTAGAGTGATCAGACTACCCCTTGAATCAGCGAATACTTTCACTGATCAGCCACAACATTAAAACCAACTACCTAATATTGTGTAGGTCCCATGCATGCTTCCAAAACAGCTCTGATGAGGCATGGACTCCACAAGACCTCTGAACATGTCATGTGGTAACTGGCACCAACACATTATCAGCAGATGTTTTAAGTCCTTCAAGTTGCGAGGTGGGGTCTCCATGGATTAGTTGTTCCAGCACTTCCCACAGATACTCAATCCAATTGAAATCTAGGGAATTTGGAGACCAAGGCAACACCTTTGTCATGTTCCTCAAACCATTCCTGAACAATTTTTACAGATCTCATTATCCTGCTGAAAGAGGCCACTGCCATCAGGGAACACCATTGCCATGAAGGGGTGTACATGGTCTGCAACAATCTCTAGCTAGGTGGTACATGTTAAAGAAGCATCCACATGAATGCCAGGACCCAACTTTTGAAGAAAACCATTGCCTACAGCATAACACTGCCTCCGCCAGCCTGCCTTCTTCCCATAGCGCATCCTGCTGTCAACTATTCCCCAGGTAAACGATGCACATGCATCCGACCATTCACCGGATCTAAAAAAAATGTGATTCATCAGAGCAGGCTACTTTCTTCCATTGTCCCCGTTAGTGATGCTTTCAGCGGTGGACAGGGGTCATCATGGGCACTCTGACTGCTCTGCACCCATCCACATATGCATCAAACTGAGATGCACTATGTGTTCTGACACCTTTCTATCATGGCCTAAAGTTGTTCAGCAATCTGAGCTACAGTAGCTCTTCTGTGTTGATCACGTGCATCAATGAGTCATGAGCTCCTAAACCTGACACTGTTTCACCAGTTGTCCTTCCTTGCACCACTTTTGATAGATACTAACCATTGCATACCCCACAAGAAATGCCATTGGAAATAATCACAATTTGGCCCTTTTCAAAGTTACTCAGATCTTTATACTTTCCCATTTTTGCAAGTGAACAGTTCCATTGACTGTTCATTTGCTGCCTAATATATCCCATCCCCAACAATATAACCTATGTTATTCACTTCACCTGTCAGTGGTTTTAATGTTGTGGCTGATCAGTCTATGGCAAGTATTGGTAATCCACCATGTTTTTCTAAATATTTGTAAAAGGACATGAAATCTTTGCCGTGCTGCATGTGAAATTCATATAGTGCAATGGAATTCAATATCAGTTGCGTCGCTGGGGGGGGGGCAGAGAGGGCCATGGGCCCCCATTCATCATGCAGTGTCCTCCTTGACTTGAAATTGAAGTTGGTAGCACTGAGTCTCCCTTCACAAGCTGCAGCAGCACTGTTACTGTCGAACCTTTTCCCACATGCGGCCAGAGGGGGCACTCTGCTTGGCTGACTTCCTCCTGGGTCACAGAGAGCAGCTCAGGTGAGAGACAGGGAGAGGAAGCTAATTTCTACAGAAGCATCCAGGCAGCTGCTGATAAGTGTAAGTCAGTGTGTGTGGTTCAGTCTCTGTGTGTGTGTGTATATGGTGGGAGTGGGGGGAGAAAGTCTGTGTGTGTGGGGTGGGGGCTCAGTCTGTGTATATGTCAGTCTATGTGTGAAGGGGTCAGTCTATGTGTGTGTGTGTGTGTATATGGGTCAGTCTGTGTGTGTGGGGGGGCTCAGTCTGTGTATATTTCAGTCTGTGTGGGGGGGGTCAGTCTGTGTGTGTGGG